ATTAGTCATTGTTGACTTATTCGTTTCATATATAGTTGAAGAACTTATTTTAAATAAAAGCAGTATAAGAAAATAAGCTCTATTGACTTGAATCTGTTGAAGCTACACTCTAGACAATATTAGAAATTATACACTCTTAAAAAGATCATATATAATAGGTTTAACTAAAAAATACCAATACTTCTTCCATTTCTCTCATTAAAGTTTTTCAAGGAACTAAGCCTATCGCACCATAGAATTTAAACCATTGTTGATTTTTTACTTATTATCTGCAGCTAAAGACGTCTATTCTCTGTAAGCCATTCTTTACTCCAGTTATCCATCTAATTCATTTAATGTCTTGGAGAGAAACCTTTAAATAATGGCGGTATGAGAAATCGTACTCTGTTGACTTGAAAAAATTGTTTAGGCTAGAATTATATAAAGATTACATGTATTTCCTTCAACCCTCTCATTAAAGTTTGACTTGTTGACTTGAAATAACACTTTTGAGAATATTGGAAATTATACACTTTTAATATAAAAGGAGCGCAAGGCTAGCTTTAAATAAGAGTTATAAGAGAATATATCCTTCATCTTTGTCATCAGAATTTTGGAAGCCTCTATGGCTATCGCACAATAGAATTTAAGTCATTACCGATTTTTTACTTATTCTCTTTAAGTGATTTCTCTGTGAATCATTCTTTACTTCAGTTAACCATCTTATTCGTTTAATGCATTAAGAGGAAGAAAGTTAGAGGAAGTAACTCTAAACAATGACAATATAAGAAATTATACTTTCTTGACTTGACTGGTCCATTTACGGTCGCATTTATTAAGGAATAGAAAGAGCTTCTTCCTTTTTCTCATTGTATAGTTTGGAGTCCTATTCTTTCCGACTTTTTACTTATTCTTTTCAATTGATAATCGCTATTCTCTGTGAGTCATTCGTATCTCCTTTTTACTTCAAGTTGTTAATGCTTATTCCCTTTTCTCTTATTTCTCTTTTCACTATATTTATCTATCTTATTAGTTCAATATATTAAATAGCAACTAACTTTAAGTCATGACAAGTTAAGAAATTATGTTCTCAAAATTTTAAGGACTATTTATGGTAGAATTCATTCAGTTTCTTCCTCTTTTTCATTGTAGAGTTTGTAAACTTCTTCTTGTCGAGTTTTTACTTATTCCTTTTAGCTGATAATGTCTATGCCATCTATTCATAGTTCACTGCATTTATTCATCTTATGCCTGTTCGTCTCCTCTTCTATCAAAATTCAGATATTTTAAGTCAAAATGTTCTTCTAAAGAGATCTAACATTCTTTACTTTTATAAATATTTGTTGAAATAAACTATGTTTTTTACCCTTTAAAAGGAATTTTAGGTTTTGAGAGCCTATATTATGGGCTATTATATATCAGTGGAAGATAACCCAACTCTTAAAGTTCCAGAAAGATTATAAAAATGTTGAACCGAAAGATTTAGAACTAATCTTAAATATATTTATCATATTTTATCATAACAGCCTCATTCTTAGGGCTTATATAAGCCTGTCTACTGTGACACAATATCATGATATTCTTCTAGACACCACAAGTCTTCACTATATAATTTCAACTCTATTCATCAGAACTATGTTAACAAACCAAATTTATGCTCTATTGTACCGCATCATACTCAGTTCACAAGATGGTACCAAAATCCACTTATGTACGCCCCACAAGCCTCCTTGTTTTTATATTGCCACACGTTTTAAGTCATTATAAACGCTTAACTCGTCTTTAGTTGACTTTGTTATTTTTTTAATAAAAAAAGTATAGAAATTTGGAGACATTGTTGCCAATTTTAATGCGCGTTTCTATTACTTAAGTTTCCGTTCTAAGTAAAACAAACGGCGACAAAAAATTATGCAAAAAGGAGAAAAATAGAAGAAAAAGGGAAAAAAGCAATTTGCGTTCATAATTTGTGGCGCCCACGTAAACGTGCTGGTATTCTCTATTTTTCCTCCTCCTCCTCCTACTTCTCCGTCATTATTCCTAACCACAACGACCAAGGTGTTTCACCTTTCCAAAGGTGAGCTGAACGCTGATACTTGCTAAATTGTCACCGTTTTGTGCGTCATTTATCTGCATTAAGTTGATGACATTACCAATTAGGTGTGCACAGGAGAAGCTGTCCATCTTTAATGTATTCAACATTATTGTTGTTGTAATTATTAAACAGTCATGAACACTACTGAATGTTCTGATAATTAGGCTTCAGTAATTAAAATTTTGTTAATGTTTTTTGAAAATTAATTATTTTTATATGAAAATATTTTATGAAATGAGATACAATGTTTATGAAAATTTAATAAATATGTCACCAAATTTTAATTTATTGTTTAATATCTGAGTATATAATTAGTTTTTTTAATATTTATTTATGGTATGACATTGTTAAATTTATTATTATACCAGTAAACAGAATCTTAATAATATAGGTAAAATAAAAAATATATTTTGTTAAGTTAAGTTATGCATATAGCTTGTGTATCTACTATCAACGCAAGCCATCCACTGGCTCTTTGTTTTTTTAGGATTTCTATCTGCTGACACCATTGTTAGATTTTATAATCTTAAGTTTGAAAAGTAAGGTAATGAATATAACTGATCTTCATTTTCCTCGCCATCGCACCCACAAGATAAATCTGAGTTGTCTTATTCAAAAATAAATGTATCACTTATTCATACGTTCGAAATAAGTTGAATATATTGCAGATAATCTTGGTTAACATTATTGCTTAAATACCTGTCAACATATCTCAAAAACAGTCAATTATTGTATTACTATATCATACTTGGTTATTCACTTCAGTTATGCGAATACACAGCCGATCTTACTTAATTACAACCAAATATTCCAATTTTGTTGAACCATAATTGTTCGAGTAGACATTAATAATAGACAAGCGAAGAATTATTTGAAGTGAAAATACCAGAAGAATCCCATAACTTGAAAAGTTGTCCATTACTGTACCAGATGTATAAAAAATATTAGGTAGCATGTGGCGTACGAGATGATCAGAATAATGTTAAGTTAACAGTTATAGTTAAAAAATGAACCGGTTCAAACTGCTCTGCTAGTCTAAGCATAGTAATCTGAACAGAGGAACCCACTGGTCCTGATCATTACTGCATTAAACAAATAACAAATTTCAAACAGACTTTATAATGAGAGTAAATATCACAACACCTAATATTAGAATATAACCTGTCTCAAAATACTTTCTTAGTCTAGACATAGTAATATGTATGAACCACTGGTCCTGATCATTACTGCATTAAACAAATAACAAATTTCAAACAGACTTTATAATGAGAGTAAATATCATAACACCTAATATTAGAATATAACCTGTCTCAAAATACTTTCTTAGTCTAGACATAGTAATATGTATGAACCTATATTTTGAAAAACAAAAATTGGAATAGACCATGCTATCATTAGACCCTTGATTATACAAAAATAAGACATTCATTTACATACAAACAAAGAAAGATAAAATTTATATCATTCAAATCTAAAATAATGTTAGATTTTAATCTTTTCTCTCCTTTACTTTCAAAGTTAAAAAAGTTTCCTTAATTATTTTCAAAGTATCAGTAATCTAACTTGGCTATATATATATATATATCAAAATCGTCCTTTGATCAGAAAGTATAATGACTATATGTTCTTATTTTATGAATTAAGTGTTACAATTTATATTAATTATTTTTATATATATTTTTTTTATATATATTTTTAACGACGCCATATATAAGTCGGTCACCATATAGTCGGTGGCTTACTTTTTTTCTCACTCAATAAACATTAATAATTTTGTATATTTTATATTGTATTACGTATTATGAACTTAATATTATTATTATTATCCATATATAATATTTTTTATACTACTTTGTTATGCATATTATTCATACCATTATGTATTA